GCCCCGTGGGTTGGTCTGGGAAACCAGGCCTCAGGTAGTTTAGGGGTGTGGAACCCAACCCGGGGTGTTATATGGCCCCCCACAAAATTGGGCGTACGAACCCGCCTGGTTTGTCAAAGGGACTATACTGAAATTTAGGTAACCCGTCCAGGCCCTTTCTTTTCCCTTTTTAAATTTTTTTTCACACAAAAAAAAAAAAAAATTTACTGTTATGCAGCTACTGCATTTTTGTTTAATTTAAATTTTATAAATAATGTTTAGCCCCTTCTGACTTTTGTATTGGGCTGGGCCCGTTGGCAAGTCATGGTTTGGGGACGTCATTTGTTTTAAATTTTGAACTCGGCAAAAATCAAACATTTCGCCTACTTTTAGCTCCCGTTTCAAGGTAAAAGTGGGGCCCTGATAATGTTTTTGGTCAGAATCATAATTTTTGGGAAAAAGTAAAATTTTTTTTTTCAAACATTGGCTCGCAAAACTTTTATTTGACTGGAAACGTCATTTGACTCGAAATTGTCGTTTGTTTCCCCGGGCGCGTACTCACGGCCCCAAGCCACCCCCCACTCCCCTTCCCAGCCAGTGTGGCATTGTTTACAAAAGTGACCATCCCCCCACTTGTTTTAACGAAAAAATTTTATATATTCCATTCATTTTTTGTGCTTCCAACTGTTAAATTTAAAAATCATGGCTCCCCAAAAAAAGTCTTCTAAATGGGCCTCCCGTTTGGGAAAAAAAGGTGGGAAATACGATTGAATTTAAGAAAAACATCAATTTAACATTTTGAAAAATGGGGTTACGTGTGGCCGAACTGGCCAGGATGTACAGTGGAACCTCAAAAATCGAACGTATCACGTATCGAACGTTTCGAAAATAGGACCATTTTTGGACAAAACTGTGTCCCTATTATCGAACGTGCCCCTATTTTCGGACCGCCGGGTACGGGACCTGTCTGCCGCCTGCTCTGTCCGCGTACCCGCGCAGGCGCCGTGAGCAGTCTAGCTTTGTTTATGCTTGAGTGAACACTAACCTGCGCTCTCAACGCATTTTACGATTATTTTGTTGTGTTTTAGTGCTTGTGGGACTGTGAAATAAGCTGCCATGGGCCCAAAGAAATTTGCTAGTGGTACCCCTGTGGTAAAGAAAGTGGGAAAACACCATAGATGTGAAGAAGGAAATAATACAGAAGTATGAGAGTGGTGTGAGACTTGTTGAGCTTGCCAGGATGTATGGGAAAAACAGTCGACCATCGGTTCTATCCTGTCAAAGAAAGAACAAATCAAGGAAGCTGATGTTGCGAAAGGTGTTAATATAGGGAGTGGATGAGGTGCCTTCTTCAAAAATTAAGGAGATTTGTGCCAAGTGAATGATGTCCAAATGTTTGTGCAGAAGCACCACCCTGAGCAAGCTGAAACAAGCCATCTTTGCACAAGTTCAGTGATAGAACCATGTCCCATTTTAGGGAAATGTTAAAGAGGTGCCAGAAACAGAGGACTGTGGACAGTTATTTTGTCAGACAGGGGTCCAATGACTCTCAAGCTGGTCCTAGTGGCATTAAAAGACAGAGAAGGGAAGTAACCCCAGAGAGGGCTTTACTGAAGTCCTCATGGAGGGGGATTCTCCTTCCAAACACTAACCCCAACTCCCTCTCTCCTCCTCCCTATCTTCCAGATGCCATCACCAATCTTCAATAAAGGTAAGTAAAAATGTTATTTTATATGTATTACTGTACATAATTAAAAACTATAGTATTTGTTGTATGTAAAACTGTAATTAATTTCTATAAAATGTATTTTTTGTGTGAATATTTTTGGGTTTCTGGAACGGATTAATTGTATTTCCATTATTTCTTTATGGGAAATATTGCTTCGAATTTCAGACTTTTCAAATTTAGAACTAGCTCCTGGAACGGATTAAGTTCGATTTTTGAGGTTCCACTGTATAAGAAACCCCATACAACCATAGCTTCTATTGTGGCCAAGAAAAAGGAAATCATGGAGGCTGTTCTTGCAAAGGGGGTAAGTAAGCTGACAAAAATGAGATCGCTAGTACTCGAAGATGTTGAGAAGTTATTGTTGGTGTGGATTAATGAGAAACGATTAGCAGGAGATAGTCTTATGCAATCGCTTATTTGTGAAAAGGCTAGGCAGTTGCATGACGATCTCGTGAAGAAATTGCCTGCAACGAGTACTGATATTTGTGAATTTAAGGCCAGCGAAGGCTGGTTTGAGACATTTAAGAACTGTAGTGGCATACACAGTGTGATAAGGCATGGTGAGGCTGCCAGCTCGGACAAAATTGCAACTACAAAATTCGTAAGTGAATTCAATGAGCACATACAGTCTGAACAATTAAAACCCCAACAAGTGTTCAGTTGTGATGAAACAGGCCTCTTTTAGAAGAAAATGCTGAAGAGGACCCACATTACTCAGGAGGAAAAGGGACTGCCAGGACACAAGCCTATGAAAGACAGGCTGACACTTTGTAGTAATGCTAGTGGGGATTTTAAAGTGAAGCTGTTACTAGTGTACCATTCTGAAAATCCCAGGCATTCATGAAAAACAATGTCATGAAGAATAAATTGTGTGTGTGTTGGAGAGCTAATAATAAGGCATAGGTCACGAGGGAAATTTTCGTTGAGTGGTTCAATGAAGTGTTTGGCCCCAGTGTGAAGAATTACCTCCAAGAAAATAAATTGGATCTCAAGTGTCTCCTAGTAATGGACAGTGTACCTGCTCATCCTCCAAACTTGGATGACCTAATTCTGCAGGAGTTTGGGCTCATCACAGTAAAGTTCTTTCCCCCTAATACCACTCCACTCCTCCAGCCCATGGACCAGCAGATCATTTCAAACTTTAAAAAACTCTACACCAAAGCAATGTTTCATAGGTGCTTTAACCCTTTCAGGGTCCGTCCCGTAGATCTACGGCTTCACGTTGAGTGTCCAAACCATAGATCTATGCCAAAATTCTAGCGCCGTCAAATTTAGCGCGACAGCGCTCATAGGCCTACATGTGAGAGAACGAGTCTGCGTGGTGGGTGTGCGCCATAAACAAAAAATCTAGGCACCCGCATAGCATTGTGGGAACGCCGGCTCAGTTACCCTTGTTCACCATGCCTCGTTGCAAGTCAGCTCTCACTCCACGGAAAATTGGGACTCTCCTCTTCCTATCTGATAGTTCTGACACTGATGGAAGTGGAAATGAAGACGAATCCTATGACTTTGATCAGTTAGTGACCGAAAGGAATGACCAGGATATCGATAATAGTGCAGAAAACCCTGACGATCCTCAACCTTCAACCTCTGGTGTTTGGGTTTTCCCT